TAAAACATCTTGAAAAATAGCTCATAAAGATAAGATATTTCCTGGTTACTTTCTGGAACTGAAAATACAAAAGCAAATAGAGTAAATTATTATGTCTTGATGTCCACCTTCCAAGGAACGGATGACATATTAGATGTTGTAAGCTACATCTATGATTTCCTGTCCTCCATGCTTATACTGGTCAACATACTTTGATGGGCTAGAGCAGATCATGTATTGTGAGGCTAAATGTTTTTTTTTTTTTGGGGGGGTGAGAAGAGGCTAATGACTTGACCCATGTACTCACAATATTTCATATTAACTGCCAGGCACGACCTCTTTTCAACGACAGAAGAAAGCTCCCAAAAATGGCTGACCCAAGACTGGAGGGACGATACCCCATGCGTGGACTTTACCAAGCACTTGCAGTGGCATCTATGTGCATTCAGTCGGAGGCTGCGTCGCGTCCACTTATTGCAGATGTTGTGACTGCTCTTTCCTACCTGGCATCTCAATCATATGACCCTAATGCGGCTCATGCTTCAAGAAAGCCAGGTGGCGATCAGCGAAGCAAGGTTGGCGAGAACGGCAGGGTAGTCTCCAGGAACGACGAAGCCAGCAGCTCTGGCCACAAGTCACCAAACAAGGACAGGGAGGATTCCCCGAAAGAGCCCCCAGGTATCCTGAACAAGGATTTCGACAGGGAGCGGATGGTGGCGGAGGCAAAGATGTGGGGCGACAGGGAACGGATGGTGGCTGAGGCAAAGATGTGGGGTGATAGGGAGCGGATGGTAGCCGAGGCAAAGATGTGGGGCGAGAATTGGCGGGATAAGAGACGTGCGATCGAGAACGGGCAGGGGAGTCTGGATTCCCCAACTGAAAATGGCTAGGAGCAGGGCAGCGAGGGGTTGATCCATCCACCCATGTATGTCTGTTTATTTCCAACACTATTTGCTTTCCTGTGGCAGGGAGAGGGGAGGGAGGGACGGTGGGTTAGATGTACATTTCTAGAGAAAAAGAGAGAAGAAACGGGAGCTTTGAACTGGATAGTGAATTCATGTTGTTGTACTTGTAAATTCTCAGAAATTTTTGTGAGAATGAAAGGACACTTTTGAGTTCCCTTTGAATCATCCTCGTTATATCTTCTTATCATGTTATGCGCTCGTAGCAATTAATAATGTTTATATCGGACTCGTTCCTATTAGTTGACTTGATCCTGGTCATGGACATGGGATCATTCTTCGTCAGCGATCAGTTAATGCCGGTGCTGTGCCGACTGGTTACACGATCGAGATGCTGAAGATGCTCTGAAAGCAACTCTGTCTATTGGTCGATCCATCAGCGGGAGAGAAGAGGCAAGACGTCAAAAAAATATCAAGCAGACGTTTTGGTGTCACGCACCGAGCACACGGCAAGCGTGCCTGGAAACTGACCGATCGGTGGAGCGGGGGAACCGCTTGCGCGCACGACGCATGCATCTCCCGGAGAACATTACACCACCGTCGCCGCGCCCGTGTCCCCTGCCGGCCAGGGAGACCCCAAATATAGGCTCAACTCGCTCCCTGTCACTTGCCATGTAGGAAGGCATAGATAGGAAGCTGTAGTTACACGCGTACGCCCTGAATCTCACCAGGAGAAAGCAAAGCGTGTGTGGCTGGCTTTTCCTGCGGTTGTGTTTGGCTCAAATCGATCTCGATGATCTTGTTTTTGCCCTAGCCGTGCTGGTGTACCCGGCTGCTTAGGACATCATCACGACGCAACACGCAAAGCCTAAACGGACGGAGACTTTAGACGAGAAGGCGACGCTACCGTAGGCATGAACCACCACGGTCCAAAAGGGTATGGGTGCATACACAAAAATAGACATACGCCCACAGTGAAGGGCCGCCATCCAACATGCACTTCAGACTCATTAGTAGGCCCAAACCAGCACATTTTCCTTACTACTTTGCTGACCTCAGGCCGAATTCTCCAGTGTCGGTTCAACCCAATGATAAACGGAATAAGTTCACTTCAGGTACCTTAATTTGTCATCGAGTCTGAAAATCATCTCTAAACCACAAGACCGGATATGACGCGTCTCTCAACTTTCAAAATTAGTGCAAATAAGGTCCAAGTTGGTTTGGACGACAATTTCGATTGACATGGTGCTTATACGTGGCTAGTTTGACTTAGTTCTCATCCTATGTGACGATGAGGTGGCATTGGAAGCAAAATAGTCCCACCCTCCTCTTCATCTCCACAGACAGCGGCGCCTCCTTCTCCGCTCTCCTCTTATCGCTATGGGTCCAAACACTACTAGAAAATTAATTTTTAGGAGGCCAAAAAAGATTTTAGTAGGCGGGCGCTCCGTCCATCAGTATGCAAAGACCTGATTTTCACAGACGGACGTCCAGTCCACCTGGGAAGCTGTATCTTCGCAGGTAGACCGCATAACTAATCCGCCTAGAAAGATATATCTCCCAAGCAGGCTGCAGCACAATATGCCATCTGGGAAAATGTGTTACGCCCGCTTGAGAAAATATGTAGTATATTTGAAATTAATTAATTAATACATAAATATATCTAACAACTAGTATATACATGTAATACAGATATAATACACATATATTGCATTCATTAGTAAAAAGTGTTGGTCATATTAGTAAAAAGTGTTGGTCATATATACATGTTAATTACACAAGCACGTCATTTCGAAATATATTGTTAATTACACAAGCACGTGGCTCCAATCCAAAAGAGACTTGTAGTCTCGCTCATCGCTAGGCTATCTTCGGGGTCGAAGAAAAGTCCATCTTGATAACAGCACTCGCAGTGGATGAAACACAGGATAATGTGGGCCCCACACGATTGTAGGAGGATGTGACGGGCCACTAGTTAAACTTTCCTATCATTAGCCATCTTCGGTTTCGAAGGCTTCGGGTCATAACTGCCCACGACCCTAATGTTTATCTGGTCTCCGATAATTGCGCTGTTGTGGTGGAGAGGGCGAAGCTGCCAAAGCATCCAAAGGGTTTCCAAGGCATAACCTCTCCCCGTGAAACTTCAACCTATACTCCATCTCATTTGAAATGCTGATGCCCAACTCCTCTCCTTCAATTAATCGCCGCCGCCATTCTTCTTTCATTCTTGTCCGTGATGCCATAGGCCAACTGTCGTGTGGTGCCACTCGAAAGGTGAGCTCTTCCACCCTCGCGCCTACGCGACGATCCAGAGCTAGAGAAGGGAGAACTTCTGATACCAGCCTCCCATTGGTGGAGGCCAAACATCACGGTGAGACGGGGGTCGCTGAAGCCCAAGGAAAACGAGTCGTCGGAGGTAGTGTACTGCATTGACTACGCAGTGGTCAGGTTAGTACTCTCTTCTTATAGTTCTTCACGCATGATAGTGTTGGCCATTTTCGCCCATGTGTGCGAGATGTTCGTCGATGGAGTTGTTCTGCAGGTCGTTCTTCATCCCACAACACCTAATGAAATATTGGGGCTCTAACAACCCGAAGCAAGTGGTGTGGACTTCATCCCCATAGTGCTGAAGAAGTGGGAGTAAGCCATTAGCATATGAATAATTGTGTATTAATTAATACAAACTTTAAAAATTGGTTCATTTGATTTTTAAAGAAAACTTTTACATAAATAAGAATTTTTTAAAAAAAATTCGTACCATTTGATGGTCTGAAAATATGTTAACAAAAAAAACGAGTAAATTGTTTGGAGTTGAAGAAAACAACTATGCCATAGTCTATGATGCAGCGGGTGTTGGAGGGACTCTAGTTGTGTGATCTCACCCCTAACGACATACAGGAACGGATTAAAGATCGAGGTTGAGAGGCTTGCTTTGACACGTTTGGTATGGCAGACATCGTCCGGAGGGTTGTATAGGTAGTCCCATACGTAAAATTTAGCGATCTCGTGCGCTGAGATTTTTCCGAACTGCAAAAGAAAAAGAAAAACGGAGGAAAGGGCTTCGTACGTCGGCGTCCGGCATTGGCACGCCATGTGTGCGGGGTGCCGCGCGCTCTAGCACCCATTCAGACGCCTCTCCCGTTCCCTGCAGGGAAAGAATGACAGGATATAATAATATTGCGGAGTCCTCCCCCTCCTCCCGCGTTGCAGGATAAACATGCAAGCGGCGCACGCGCCGCGGTTGATTCTCGCGGAGCGCGTGCATGATCAGTCCGTGTCATCACCGACTCACCGCGCGCGCTGCGACGACGCGACGCTGTGTCTTCCTCCGCTTCTGCACACGGCGCGCGGAGGGCTGCTTGCTATTGCCGTCTACGGAGTAGCTGAGCCGGTAAAAAGGGGAGCTGCCAGCCTTTTGCCAGATTTCGCTTTGCACGGGTCACAGTCTCACACACACACACACACACACGTCGTGTCGTCTACCGCGGCCTGCAGGCGAGGGCGCTCGACGTGGCGCCCCGTCTCGCCCTTCGTACGTATCCCGGTCTGCAATAGCTGGGGACGCGCCGGTCACATGCGACCATACTATGCACGCATGCAGTGCAGCTGCACACCACCACCTGGCGCGTCTCGTCTGCTGCGCCGCTCGGTTCGGTTGAAACCGATCGATCGAGCACGGTAGCTGAGCTAGCTACAGACACCGGTTCAGTTCCTTTCGATCTCAGACACGTTCAATAGCCCGCAGAGGACAACACCGTCTCTGTGTGTGAATGTGTCTGTGCATGCAAGGCGCGCCCACGAGGAGCGGAGAGCGCGTGTTGTACGTGCAGCCAAGGCCCAAAAGCGAGGAGGGGATCGCGGTCGCTACCTCCTGCTTCCGCGGGGACACCCTTGTCCGCTTCTGCACGCCTGCATATGCCGCTGCCGCCTTATTTGATCGACCTCCACACACTTGTCCCGCTACCCTTCGCGTGCGTGCACCCACCGCCCCGCTTCGCGCCAACGCTTTCGATTCCTCTCTCTCTCTCTCTCTCTCTCTCTCGCTCGCCATTTTGCTATACAGCTCGTTGATGTGAATGTAAACGGTGTCGCACGGTAAGCTGAGAGACTGGAAAATCATGTTGCAGTAAAATCCAAATTTTATTATTGAACTGCATGAATCGAATGAAGCTAAGCAAGAGCATCGACGCGACAGGCCGGTCGATTGCACACCCACACCCTTCACTCCCCCCTCAGTAGCTAGGTTCACAAAACACGCATGCACTCGGTCGGTCGGGCCAGCTTAATTAGCTTGCTTGCTCGGTCGGTCTCTGCATGCAAGCTGGACGAACCAGGCGAGTCACGCGCCAATACAGTCCCTACTAGATCTGGCCGGAGTACTACTGTACGTACTACGCCAAGAGGTGTCTCACCTAGTAGCTAGTACGTACGCGATGAACATGTGTTCGTGTTTATGTTTGTGTACCACCAGCTAGCTGGCTATACCTCACATGAGAGAATTACTACTAGTTCTCTAAGCTTAATCAGACTACACTTCCACAACAATGGCCATGTCAGGCTTGATGATCTGCTCCGTTCTGACCATAGCGTGATCGCCGTCACCGGCCATCTCGTCCGTACGGTTCGTCTCCTCGTCATCCACCTTCACCTCCACCACCTCCGAGGGCATCACGTCGTCGATGGGGTGCACCTCCGCGCCGCAGCTGATCCTGCCCTCCGGCGCTGCCGCGACGGCGCCCTTGGCGACGGCCTGCACCTCCTTGACATGCTCCGGCAGCTTGATCTCCAGCCCGGCCGCCACCACGGCGGACGACGACGACGCCACCAGTGGCTTCTTGCTCCGGTACGCCATGTACAGCGCCATCTGCGCCACGCCGAACACGAAGCCCAGCACGTTGGGCAGCGCCACGAACACGTCCTTCTTGAGCAGCCCGTACAAGAACCAGATCACCGCGCTAAGCACCAGGAAGAAGGATAGCGAGAATGGCATGAACTCCACGCTCTTGGTCCGGATCACCAGCCTCTGCAAAACACAACAATCATCAGAACCTTGTCATCAGCTGCTGGTTGATCGATCGAGCGATTAGTTAGCAAGACATCAAGATTGCATTCGTTTGCTAGCTTACGATGATGCTCAAGGGAGCGGCGAAGACGCTGAGCGAGACGGCGACGCAGATCCAGCCGAGGACGTGGACGCGGAGCTCGCCGCGGGAGAGCAGCAGCGTGACGAGCGCGATGACGCCGAAGAGGCCGATGTTGAGGCCGAGCAGCATCTTCGCCGTGAGCATCCTGGCGCTCTTGGGGGCGTAGGCGAGGTACATGGCGAGGTAGACGGTCTCGATGACGCACCCCACACCATTGATGGTGACCAGCAGCTCGGCGCCGGACTTGACGAACGCGTAGTACATCCACAGCATGCAGCTGAAGAGCGTCACCACGTACGGCGTCGACTGGAACCCCTCCGTCGACTTCTTCCGGTACACCCGGTAGAACGTCGGCCTGCACGCCAAACGCACGCATGCACACACGGTTAAGTTATTGTTCAACCTGCTAATAATTAGTTATCAACAAACTAGCTAACAGCAGTTTCTTTCGTCTGATTAATGGAAGTTAAACTCATGCTTGATCTGTGTCGTCTCAATAATGGAACTACAACTGCCTACAAGGACACACACAATTACTCTGCTAAAAGTGACGTGCTGAGAGATTTTTTTTTTCTTTCCACCTTCAGCTGACTATTGTGAGAATTCATTAGTAGAAATCTTCAGAGTTATGTTGCCTTCAGGTGTATGCTGAATTCTAGAATGGTATAGATGATGGTGACCCTTCATGTGTATCATTGACATGTGTGATGCTTTTTTTTTTGTACATACTGAACTAGTATTATTATTTTAAAAACCTAACAAAACAATGTTATGCATGTGCTTGATAGAAATTGAAGCAAGTTGAGGTGCTTACAGTGGCGAAAGGAATACCATTAGTGAGATTAAGTTACCTGCAAAAAAGATCAAAGGCAGACACGGGTTATCAGTGATGTCAGCCAATACAAAAGAGAGAGAGAGAGAGAGAGAGAGAGAGGCAAACAGAGAAAAGAAATGCATGGTGCATGGTAAAAACTAAAAAGAGAAAAAAATAAGGTGTGTACGTTTCTAACTAACATGCGTGATGGCTCCCTTTCTCTGTTTAGAGTAACTACCTGATTAGAGCCTAAAAGTTTTGTTTAGCAGTTCCATTTATTCAGGACAGAAACACTAGTTCTTTTTTTTTTGTTCAAACACTAGCTTTGAAAGATATTGAGGAAGACACACTGGAGTACTAATTAAGGTGACAGAAGCAACAAAGGAGATTATTGATCTAGTTAACTAAGAAAACTTGATTCCAATGGGTGTTTTGCTGCGGTTTTCAGGGACATTGCTTGTGCGGTTGTGGGAATTAAGATCGATACATGCTGCCATAATGTGTCTCCAACAATATGGGAGAACATGCATGCACGGATTAATCAAATCAAAGGAACAGAGTAAGCTAATATAACAGCTAGAAAGACCACCGTATGCATGAGATGAATGCAGCATTCATGAGCATGTTGATGCCTGTATGTACCTAAGATGCCAAAGGTGAAGGCCCAAGTGCTGCGTTCCATGGACATGAAGGCCATATCGATCTCCCTAGAACTCTTCCTCCAACAAAAAAATCTGAACAAAAAAACTTGATACTAGTATAGATGGTAGCTAGCTAGCTAGCTGAGCCTCCCTTCTCCTCTTGCTCAATGGAGAGATGCAAAACACACTGAGCAGTCAGTGGAGAAAGGAGGAGGAGCTATGTAATTAAGCTAAGATGTGGCTTGGGTTCATGGAGAGCCTTGAAGGCAGGCTCCTATATATAGGGAGAGAGAGGTGAGAGGAGGAGGAGAGATGCTGGAGAAAGGAAGAGGTGTGGCAACAGCCAGCAGAAGCATGTGGGCCCCCCACGGGTCGATCATTGCACACTGACCTGACCTGTCGCGCGATGCGCTTGTGGCGGGTACGTGTAGCATACGTACCCTGCTGGAACGGGAAAACCTCACCAGACACCAGCCATGGCAATATGTTGTGCATGTACAGTATGTAGTAACGTACTCCTAATGTATCGAGGGGCAATAGGTTTTTTTCAGGTATGTGCGTACACACTATGCCCGAAGAGAGTAAGCCGTGTTTAATGGCGGCAACGCCCTGTGACATGTCAAACACCAAACCTGGAGAGGCTTCCGTGTTAAGCCCCCCACAGTATCCCTGGCCGTTTCCACCTCTACTTTCGAGAGGCTCTGTGTGCAGTGCGATTCGCGGTGGGTGATGCACCCAGCTGTTTGACATGCAGAGCTCTCCCCCGATGTCACCGGGTGCCTACTTGTCCTGCCTTTTTTTTGTTGCTGCAACGGCCGGGCTCTCGCACCACGATAGATTTCTGCGAAAGATACGGCAGCACGGAGAGGGACGCGTCGCGTGCGCTGCAACCTGCATTGTGTGCTCGTCACGGTTGACACAGCTGACAGCCCAACATTTTTTGTACGTAGCGCGCCCGCGCTGTCATTCGAGACTCACCGCGACCGTCCGTCCTTCCGAAAAATCTTTCCACCAGCTCGCGCGCGCGGCTCGTCCCGGCCGGCCGACGCGGTCACGTGACGCGTACGTAGCTACTATAGCTTACTAGATCGGTGTGGCTTGCTTGGTTGATTGCTTTCGTTGCGCGGCGCGGGCACCGTGTGTGTGCGTACGACGTCGGTTCGATCGGGGCCGGACGGAGCCAGGCTTTCGGGAGTTCGGCGGCCAAGGGCGTGCCGAACCGAGCGAAAAAAAGGCCCAGGCGCTCTTTCTGTGCTACAGATCCGTCCCGCGCCCGGATGGTTAACTCAACGCTAGGGCTACCTCTCCAACTGATCCCAGAAGCTTCTCGACTCTAGGTTTCCTACCTAGCTTCAAATGCTCATCAATCTCGATCGGTGGATCAATCTTGGCTTGCTTTGCGTAACTCGTTTTGCGTGTTGTGCATAAGTGGCAAGATTGAACGTTAACGAGGAAAAGCCTCGGCCTTTTTTTCTCGAAATGAACTGCGATCTTGCGAGCCAGGCTAGCATCGCGCGACGGTTCGACGCTTTTGAGGTAAAACCGCGGCGCAAGTCAACCAAATCATTGGTAGAGGGCTCCACAAATGAGACCACGTCGACGTCGATCGATCGATCGGACTGACGAGCAAGCAAGCAAAGCAGAGCAGCAATCTCTGCATCCGGCCCCGTTTCCGCGGACGGTTTCCAAACTGAACTCCTCCATCTCTCTGCATGCGCCCGTCGTTGCGAGCCAGCTCGATCTGCGTGGATTGCCTTCCTCGTCATCGCGCACGCAGACCATTAACGTTGCAGGTGTCTGGTTGGCAGCTCTCTCAACGCGACCGATCGAGCCCGCCCGGTCGAATTCGGGTTCTCGCCTGCCTGCCTGCCTGCCTGCCTGCGTGCGTGGATGTGTGTCGTGGCGTGGCGCGCGGGCGGACCGTTTCCCAATCATGGAGAAACCAATTATGGACTTATGGTTCGGAGGCGGACGCGCGCGCGCGGTGACGTGACGTGAAGGCGCGCGCGGGCGCGAGCGGGGGGAGTGGATCGCTCGTCGCTCGCGCGCGCTGGGGCGCGTGGATGGCTGGAATGCGGGATCTCGCCCGCGAGACGGCGTGCGTGAAGTGTGAGACGCAGATTAGCTTTGGCTTGGCAAGACCGGTATCATTGCGCCACAGCTGAATGATTGTGGCGCTAATTAATGACACCCTCCTCGTCATCAGCCGCGCCGTAGTAGTACTACTACTCTACTACAGTGTAAGCAAGGAACGCATGATTTGCAAGCGATTGGGTTTTGGCTATGATTAGCGTCCTCGAACTTAGGGCACCCACAATAATTATCTATAGGCTCTACAAGAGATATATATCAGCATATTTTCCTACTTGGAAGAAATTAAATGAAGAGAGAGAGCAAAGCTATCTACTAACCTTGAGATACTCTATAGAGAAAAACGAGGCAATTGATTAGAGAGCTATAGATACCCATGTAGACATACCATTAAAGTAGTTTACTATTAATCTAGTCTATTGCTAAGATGTACATCTTTTATAGATAGCACCTTACTTTATCATTGTGGGTACTCTTACTAGAGTTATGTAGAAGCCACGTACATCAATCGTCGTTTGTACTGTATAGTATAACTAGCATGGTGGCCCGTGCAGATTACGCGGCTAGCATCGTTATATTTTCTCTTATATAATAGTATATATGTTTTCTTATTTTATTATTTAAATATATTAAAATGACAACATAATTTTAAATTTTACAATAACTTTACAAAACTACTAATGTGTAATATTTATATTTTATTTTATATACGTGTTAGTTATTAATTATTTTTAATATCAAATTTTAGTTATTTGTAAATTATATATATTCCTATATGGACTCTAGACTCGTCTTTTAATATTTTTTTTCTTTAATTCCGAATTTTCTGTAAATTGTATTTCTATATAGACTCTATGCTCTTCTTTCAATATTATTTATTATTATTTCTAAATTTTTATTATTTCTAATTGTATTTCTATGTGGACTCTAAACTCATATTTCAATATTCTTTAATTTTTAATTTCGAATTTCAGTTACTTCTAAATTGTATTCCTATATTGACTTTAAACTCTTCTTCCCATGTTTTTCTTAATTTCGAATTTTAGTTATTTGTAAATTGTTTTTTTATACGGACTCTAATCTCTACTTTTAATTTTATTATGTTTATTCCAAATTTTAGTTAGTTTTAAATTCCTATATGGACTCTATACTTCACTTCTAATATTCCTTATTTTTAATTCCGAATTTCTATTATTTCCTAATTGTATTTCTATATGGACTATATACTCTATTTCTAATATTTCTTGTTTTTAATTCCGAATTTCAGTTATTTCCTAATTGTATTTCTATATGGCTCTATACTCTACTTCTAATATTCCTTATTTTTAATTCCGAATTTCAGTTATTTCCTAATTGTATTTCTATATGGACTCTGTACTCTACTTCTAGTATTCCTTATTTTTAATTCTGAATTTCAGTTATTTCTTAATTGTATTTCTATATGGACTCTATACTCTACTTCTAATATTCCTTATTTTTAATTCCGAATTTTAGTTATTTCCTAATTGTATTTCTATATGGAATTTCAGTTATTTCCTAATTGTATTTCTATATGGCTCTATACTCTACTTCTAATATTCCTTATTTTTAATTCCGAATTTCAGTTATTTCCTAATTGTATTTCTATATGGCTCTATACTCTACTTCTAATATTCCTTATTTTTAATTCCGAATTTCAGTTATTTCCTAATTGTATTTCTATATGGACTCTGTACTCTACTTCTAGTATTCCTTATTTTTAATTCTGAATTTCAGTTATTTCTTAATTGTATTTCTATATGGACTCTATACTCTACTTCTAATATTCCTTATTTTTAATTCCGAATTTTAGTTATTTCCTAATTGTATTTCTATATGGAATTTCAGTTATTTCCTAATTGTATTTCTATATGGACTCTAGTCTCCTCTTCTAATATTCCTTATTTTTTAATTCCGAATTTGAACTATTTCTAAATTGTATTTCTATATGGACTCTAGTCTCCTATTCTAATATTCCTTATTTTTTAATTCCGAATTTCAGCTATTTCTAAATTGTATTTCTATATGGACTCTGCTTTTTCTTTTTCTCCGATTAATGTGAGAATTTCTAGGCCATAAAAGTGAACGTGGAGGCTCCTTTTTCTATTTATTTAATAATATAATAGATTATAAGTATATTCTCCCGTCTTAATTACTGCTACCATCACTGACTCGTTCGAGGGGGAAATATCTCCGCAGTCTTCTCGATCGGGTTCGATTGCAAAGGTATTTTACATTATGATTACACGCTTTATGACGGTTTTAAGGCACGTTTTGCATTGCGGAGGCATGAGTATTTTGCGAAACGGTCCAGGTCGTCCCACATGACAGCGTATCTCTCTCTAATTGAAAGCAGCGATCCAGAGAAAGGAAAGACACAGACCGGTACAGTCATTACAATACTCTACTTCCCTCCGTTTCAGAATACAAGACGTTTTGACTTTGATCAAAATTAAGCTGTTTTAAGTTTAACTAAATTTATAGATAAATATATAGTACTATATATAATACTAAATTAGTTTAGTCGAATCAATAATTAAATATATTTTCATAATAAATTTATCTTGGGTTGAAAATGTTATTAATTTATTCTTTAATTTTTAATTTCGAATTTCAGTTACTTCTAAATTGTATTCCTATATTGACTTTAAACTCTTCTTCCCATGTTTTTCTTAATTTCGAATTTTAGTTATTTGTAAATTGTTTTTTTATACGGACTCTAATCTCTACTTTTAATTTTATTATGTTTATTCCAAATTTTAGTTAGTTTTAAATTCCTATATGGACTCTATACTTCACTTCTAATATTCCTTATTTTTAATTCCGAATTTCTATTATTTCCTAATTGTATTTCTATATGGACTATATACTCTACTTCTAATATTCCTTATTTTTAATTCCGAATTTCAGTTATTTCCTAATTGTATTTCTATATGGCTCTATACTCTACTTCTAATATTCCTTATTTTTAATTCCGAATTTCAGTTATTTCCTAATTGTATTTCTATATGGACTCTGTACTCTACTTCTAGTATTCCTTATTTTTAATTCTGAATTTCAGTTATTTCTTAATTGTATTTCTATATGGACTCTATACTCTACTTCTAATATTCCTTATTTTTAATTCCGAATTTTAGTTATTTCCTAATTGTATTTC